ATTATGCAACCATTGGCGTAGGAGCACTGCAGTCGCGGGGAGGAGTTGCATCCGTTCTGCGGTGGTATGACTCACGGCAAATTGCAGCCGCGGCGCGCACTTGATTGTACGCACTGTATATTTCCTTTGGAAGTTAAAAAGTCAAAGGGATGTAATGAATTTAAACATAAATTAAAATTATTTTTATTTGATCGTCCTTTCTATACATTGAATGAGTTTCTTCAACAGGGACATGAGGAAACATAGCAAGGTTTTTTAATTAACAAAAAAAGAGAAGAAAAGGGAATTGTAGTAGTTATTGTTATATTTTTAAAATTCTTAGTGATGTTGTAGGGAAAGTACAGTTTTTATTTTTAGTCTAATACATTCTAGGATTATAGAGCTTTTAACAGTGATGTAGTTAGTGAGTTGACTTGTTCAAGTGTTGCAGTTGTAACAGTATGAATGCAAAATAAATATGAAATATGAAATTTGAAGGCAGAGGCAGATCCAACACCCAGATTATCACTTGGGCCATTATTTGTCCAGAGAGTGTCCAAGGTTAAAAGAAATTTCTGTGGTAATAATAAAAAACTGTTTGCACAAACATTTTTTTGAACTTCTTTATTTATTAAATTGCTAAGAACTGTATGTCAGTTAGTGTATACAAAGTAAAAACCTTTTTCAAGAACAGAATGTATGCCTATGCCTCTATGCATTGTAGAATGTGTAGTACTGAATAACTCTTGTTGATAATAGGCTTAATTGCAGTAAATAAACATGAACTACAGTGAGGATGTCATTGTAGCAAAGTACTCATCCGAAATGAAGTACACTTATCCACTCTTCTTACAAATTATTTCTATCAATTGAACTCATAAAGAGGATGTTATGTCCATCTGTCAGTCAGAATATATTTTATTTCGGAAACCATTGAAAGGATTTGAGTGAGTCGGGATAGCATAGATGGTATAGTGACTGGCTGTGGGCTGGACAACAAGAGGGGTTGGAGTTTTAGTCTCTGTAGGGGCAAGAACCTTTTCTTCTCCATGTTGTCCAGACCAGTTTTGGGGCCCACCCAGCCTCCCTTCCAGTGGGTACTGGAGTCTCTTTCACCAGTGGTAAAGCGGCTGAGGTAGAAAGCTGGCCATTCCCCCACCAAATAGTGCAGAGGTCAAGAAAACTTGGATCTCTACATCCACTCTCCCTTTTGTCTTCATGGCTTAGTGCTTAATTAGTTAAGCACAAGGGCAACTTTCCCTTACCTTATCTAACAGTACCCTCAGGATGACTTTGGTGTTGTTTCAGGTAAGAGCAAAACTAATGTCATTCATTGGAGGGTCTAGAAACTGTGGCAGAGTTGTTAACTTTCAGTTTTTTGTGGAATATACAGTGCGTACTGACAGTATGGAATATTTATTTTTCTATTTTCTGCAATATCTGATGAATCGCTGAAAATCACGAACATGTTAAAATACAGCAGTTTAAGGTGATATGTGGGAAATTTCAGGTATTGATAATGTACACTAGCAGAAATTCTGCACAAAGCTAGGTAATTTGTTGTGCAACACTTAATATACAAGGTTGACAGGCTTATAATTACAGATAGGAAAAGAAATGGAAGCATCAGTTTTTTCCCCTGAAGTTGTGTTAGTAGAAGTATTAACCCCATTACCTAACAAACTACATGCAACTGATATTTAGATAATTTACTCCTAAATAATGGTTAAGTCTATAAGGACACAATAATGCCATTTTTCAAATTGTAGGTTTGGACTGAACGAGTGTTTCATTTTGGGACATTGGCAGTTTTGTGAAATTGAAAATTAAATATATTGCATACATTTACTGTAACATACTAGACTGTCTGCATAAAGCTGTCATTAATAGCAGTATGCAGATAGGTCTGTATAGTGTCATGTGGTTTAGTGACTATAGATGGGATTCGGATCACTAATTGTATTTATTGAACTCTTATAACCTGTAACTGCAAGTAAGGCTTATGCTGTCATTTTTCTGAATATGAATTTGAATTTATTTACATTTTGTAAATTCAAGTAATGGTTGACACCATAAGATATGGAACAAGTTGAGTACAAATATGTAGTATCTGTACAATAATAGTTTTGCTTCACAAGTTAATGAGATTATAATACAGTATTAATATTACCATGCTGCAATTAAGCAAAATGATACAGTAACATTATTGGGAACACACGTTAGCTTAGAATTGATATCAAGTACTGTTTGTTTACATTGAAATATTGATCTATGGAGTAGAA